AAAATTTTGATTTAGAATCTCATTTTTAAAAGAGAACTTTATGTTTAATATACAGGCCTTTTTGACTTTTCTCCTTGGACAGGCATGTTATTAGTTGAGATCTGGAGTCATCCAACAAATCCCTGCCACTGGCTAGATGCAATCTATATGCTAGAGCCCTGGGGATAGAAGAAAAAGATCCCACTTTTTTCAGGAGTCTTAGACCAGCACAGTTGGAGGATGAAATAGGTATGCTTGAAGAGCAGGAAAGAATCTCATGATCTTATTCTTTACTGGTGGTGTATTTATTGGTGGAGTAGTTCATAATACAGAAAACACATAACCAGGTTTGACAGTGGTAACTCAGGAAAGGCAACCAAGGTAACACATTCCCAATTTTTGTAACTTGAGTAGACATCATCCGTTCAAAGAAGGGAGAAGATTTGTTGGAGTTCGAGTATTTAGCTCCCTAGAACAAATGATTTTTTTAACACTATTTGTGTTATTTTTGAGTATAGAGACAAATATAATTTATTAAGTATAAAATCTTCTGAAATCTTCACTAGGAGATATCTGCTGGACAAAAGAAGAGACGGATCAATTCATATGTTTGAGTCAATCCATGTGTTTCCTGTCATAAAATATTCCATTTATTGCCAGTTTGCTCTCTTGACAATATAAATTTAGCTTCTGTGTACATTACTAGACAATAAATCTCCCCCTTCCCCCCAGTTACTCAGTATTCTGAATCCTAGAGCACTATATCATTATCCACTGCTTGACAGTCCCTAAGCCATGTGCAACTTCTGTCGATACCTACGTCGTTGTATAGGCGAAAATCATGAGGACCATATGGTTCTCATTCTACCAAGACTTTCATTTCATGCTGTTACCAGAATGCTTAGAAATCCTGATTGGATGGGAAGATTAGCTTTTTCCCTAGTGGAATAATTTCATTAAAACGGAGGTGTCATCTCCCTAAGCTAAATGTGGAAAGAATAATAGAAAGATTACAGATCATGAAAAAAAACTAGAAAGGCTTTATTATAAATTATGACATGACTTCAGAGAGTACATCTTGATGTATTTGAATAAACCCCTTAAGTTGAGGTAACTAGATTGCTCAGTTTCAATTCTCATTTTCTCATTTGCATCACTTTTATACAAAAAGCACTCCCCACCATCTGGCTGATTTATAGATTAAGAAGCACTTTCAGTGCTTCAACTTTCCTTCTCATCTGAGTTCATGGAAGGGACCTACTTAACCCCAAGAACATCAAGTCTGTTAGCCAGTACAGCACAACAGAAAGAGCCCATTTTTACCTTAACTTAAGAACTTAGAAGAAATAAGTCATGAGACATTGCAATGACTAGTTTCTATGACATCAGGAACATCTGTGTATTTTATAAAGATGTTAAAGAAATACACCAACACATAATTATTTGGTATCTCTATACCTTTATTTTTAACATAAACATTTTCAACTTTAATTTTGACTGTGGATTTTTTTTCTCTGAATACTACTGAAATGATTGGAGATGAATTCTACATTTGATTCTAAGGTTATTTGAAAGTACAGGTCCTTTTCTGTTTCATTCAGTGAGATCTAAAGAACTAGTTCTGGGGACCTTCCAGACACCAACTCCCAAAGGTGTTATAAACTTCAATACACTAATATATCTCCAGAGAAGAAATTGCCTGATGAATGTATACTGTGGCCTGAAATGAGGAGGGCGTGGGTTGAGAAGATAGGGTTGATATAATGTGATGGCACCCGAGCTCTGTTCTGTGAAAAGAAGAGAAAAAAAAATAAGAAATGAGAACAGGAAGGAAACACAATAATCATAAATTTTACTAAAGCTGAAAATACTAAATGTGAAGAATTCTATGTTCTCACTGTTCTCTTGAAATAAAAATCCCTTTTGCTCTTGGGAATTGTGTGGGAAAAATGGTGTTTTTTTTTTTTTAATTTAACAACCATAAGTCAGTCTCTCCTCACTTTGTTTGAAATTATCCTGGACATGATATCCAGGTGACTGAGAGCCACTGTGTTGTCAAGGGTAATGAGATGCACAACAGCCCAGTGACCTCTTACCCTTATCCCAGTGAGCCATCGGGTACGAGTCCTAAAGCAACTCTGTATGCTTATCTGGGTATTAATTTTCTCCTATGTAGAAATGGGCTTTATGTAGTGTCTATTCAATTTCTCTGTAGTTAAAAAAATGTAGTTCTCCCAAACCTGATAGAGTTATCAGTCATGATAAATCATTTCCACTTCCTAAAATTTTGTTATAATAGGTCTTTCCTGCTTTTGGTCACGTGCTGAAAGACAACTTCCATGAGAACACTCAACCACCAAAAATGACCTCTTGATGACAGTATGGTGACTGTTACTAGTTTGTAAGTGGTACTTGAGGGACTTTGTTCCCCTACAGTGTACTAAGTTATTAGAATCTTCATAAGACTGAGAAAGAGAGAGAGTGTGGGGGTAAGATGGTAAAAAGAGGGAGAAAGAGAGAGCTTGAGAGAGAGAGACAGATATGTGACCTCTTCTCTTTCCTAATTAAATTTCCCTTCCTTTTTCATCTAATTTTCCACAATGTATGAAACAGATGTCCTATTTTATCCAAAAAGTAGAGGCACAAAAACTAAGAAATAAGTGATATACGTGATTTGTTTTACGAATGCACATTAGGATATGTGAAAACTTAAATTCTTACAGCAATGCAACATGTTGATTTCCTTTTCCCCAGATACTTACAAGTTAAAAAAAAATAAAATTTGCAAATTTGTGGCGCAGTTTCAGGTAGCATTTAAGAATCATGAAGGTAAACTTAAGTTTATTAATTTTTATGGTGATAGATGAATAAAAAATTACATTCAGGTTACATTATTCTAAGAAATTAGCCATGAATTTCAGTTTTGGGGACAACTCTTGGGAAAATCTGTTTGTGAGTGAAAGTAATTTACAAAAAGAGTTACCAGAAAAAAAACATGATAAAAGAAATCTACCTTGGGACACCTGGGCGGCTCAGTGTTGAGTTGCCTTTGGCTTAGGGCATGGTCTGGGAGTACTGGGGTCGAGTCCCACATCGGGCTCCCCTCAAGGAGCCTGCTTCTCCCTCTGCCCATGTCTCTGCCTCTCTCTCTGTGTGTGTCTTTCATGAATAAATAAACAAAATCTTAAAAAAAAAAAAAGCAATCTACTGGTCCCAACTGAATAATAAGCTCATTATTCTGCTCAAAATTGGTATTTTAGCCCCAATTTAAAATAAATCATTGCTTATTGTTACATTTACCATAATACCAACTTACACAATAAAAAATCCATATTCTACTTCACTATACTTCTTACTTTGAGAAAAACAGATCAGATAAAAACTTAGAGCTTGTGTGTGTATGTATAGACACACATATTTTTGTATACCTATATACATATATTTATAGAAGTTGTATTATAGAACATGGTATATAAGCATATATTCAGTAGGCTTTTAAGAATGGAATGAAGAGAGTCCTCAGGAAATATAAGAAATAGGATGACTTTAAATAATTTCAACAGGGAGTCTACAGGAGTCAGTGACACACACACCATAGTTAATTCACATCTTATTTTTGTTAAAATAAAATAGCACGCTCTCTGAGATCTTTATTCAACATACGTGTGTGCTGTGCATGTTCTTTCTAAGTGGGCTAGTTTTGTTCTCATGCCATGGGAGCAGGTGGCATGAAGCTGTTTTGATGAGGTTAAAAGGCTCCTCCCCTCTTTCCCCAAGCAGCAGCCCGAAGTACGTCAGCAGTAATTGTGTGCCTGGCTCGGCTGTGCAGGGAGGGTGCAGGCAAAATTGATATCAAATAAGGTTATCAAACTGAGATCTCGATGTTCCATTTAAGTTGTTGCTCATTTTCATTAGGCATGCCAGGGGTGAAAAGCTTATCACCTAAACACCCTCTGTAGGAAGAACATTTATTTTTGATGGATTTATATTTTTTCTTCTCCATAAAGATTGAATTTTAGTGTTGTAGTGGATATAAATGAAGGGGTTTCTTTATCCTCTTTTCATTTTATTATTGACTAATCAGACTTCAGTTCAGATAGATAAAAGAGAGAGGTTCTGTTGCCTAGATGTGAGGCCTTTAATGAGGATGGGAGGCCCCAGGGAGGCGAAATCCGAAGTAGAACGATGCTGCTTTCGGGTTTCTTGCCATTTCTTCAGTTTCTTCTTCCGTTTCCAATGGGCCTAGTGAGCAGGAACTATCCAAGGTGCTAGAATGCTGGCAGCTTTGCTGTTCAAGGCAGACGGATTGCAGAAACAGAGAAGAAAGATTACTGCTTATTTCAGAAGGTAGGTTCTTTGTTTCAGAATCCCTGATTAATCAGCAGCAGCATCAACAGACTAAGGCAGCTGGAGAGGAGAGAGAGAGAGAAGCAGGAAGGGAGGGAGTCAGGGGCAGGGAGGGAGGGAGGGGAAAGAGAGAGAATGGGAGAGAGAGAGAGCTGGTTGTCACGGGGGAGGGACGATGCCACAAGCTAGGCTGCTCCAAACCTTCTGTATGTAAGTGGCAATGAGAAAGAGCATCTTTTTGGCTGAAAGGAGACATTTAGAGAGGATGCTTCTGATTTTTTGTTTTCATTTATTTTTGTCTTCACAGAATAAAATCAAATGAGGCACCTTAGCCAGCCTGGGTGATTGCTTCGAGTCTTGTAATCATCTGTGTAGCAAAGTGGGTAAAATCATTCAATTTCTTTCCTGCTGGACCTGGAAGGCGAGGGGCTGTGTATTCATCCCCACCCATTAGCTATGCCCTCTTTTCTCTGAATGTCGATTTAAGGAAGCAAGCACCTGTCTTCTGCCACCGTATCTTCCTAGCAAACTTTAAAGGCCATTTTATCTGATAGGAAGAACATCAAGAATGCTCTGATCTCTAGTGATGAAGAATCTGGGAATGGACACTTTTCCCATCCAGACACAATGCACTTTAATTGAAGAAAAACTGAGCTGAACTACAAGTCTATTTCCTATGGTGCTGGATTACTCCTACAGAACTGCCCTGAGATCAACCGCGAGAGAGGGCTCTGAAAGACACAAGTCACCTTCTGATTATTGCACTTAGCTCTCCCTGGAGACTTAAATTTTGGTATGTATCTCATTTTTCAGATTATCTAAGCATGCTAATTGAATCCAGCACTAAATAGATCAAGCAATCTGGTTATGAAATGGAATGGATTTTATCTGGGGATACTTAATGCTGAAGTTTGCATGTCTTATTAGGTGGAACAGAAATAAAGCCACAGCGAAGGCATCTAAGGCTTTAATAAGCCTCAGGCTATTTTGTACCCTCTTACCCACTTAGTTACATTACCACAGAAATGGCTAAACTAGATTTTCATTGGTAAAATAAGCCATGTTAAATTATTAAAAGCATTGAAAATATTTTCAAGGGTGTTAATTGGCATTCACATTGTGCATGCTAGCTATTTATCTGCTATTCCATACCATAAATATTTTACAATAGTCTCTCAGCACATTTGTGTCAGCCTAATTTTGCATTCTAAAAAAAAAAAAACCTACCAAGAAAAAAAAAACTATCAGACATACACTAAAGCTGAAACTGCTTCTTCCTAACTGAGTAGATATAAACCTTTTTAAGAAACATGTATTTTACTATCATTCAATATCAGAAAGATTTCCTTAACCTTATCACAACAGATATTTTCTATTGAACTTTTGGTAGACTTGTTTTACCTGGGACATACACTTATTTTGTTGGAGTGTCTTCATCTTAATTTTTTCAAGAACCAGAAATATTTTAAATACAAGAAATATAGGTCTTCCCTAGCTGGAAGAACTATTACATGAAATAATATTGTTCCTTCTCATTAGGAAAGCCTAAAGTTGTTTCCGTACCATAGAACTGTTGTTTTTGTGTTTTTTTTTTAAACACAGCCCCAAAATAAGGGAATTCAGTGTAAAAAGTTATACTATGTAGTTCTAGTCATTTTAACATGCAAAAAATTATAACCAACTCATATGAAATAATGACTGTGGAGCAAGAGTGAAAATGAACTCCTCTCTTAATTCTTCACATGTTAAATAATGTTCCAACTTATTTTTTATACTGTCAATTGGTAAACAGATTAGTATTAGAATATGTGAGCCACAAATACCAAAATTATTTTATTTTTCTGTGGTCATTGCAACATATGTTTGCCAACTCAGCAAAGAAGGGGACTCTGAAGGACATTGACAGTTTAGGAAATCAGTGAAAACAGACCTGAGAAAAAATACTACCACTTCAAAAGAAACTATAGAGAAGCCCAAGGACTTGGGGCATTTGCAAAGTTTAGAAAGAGAAGTGTAAAAATCCTAGAGACAAGAAGGTTGTCTATTGTTACAAGAAATAAAAAAAAAGTCATAGACTCTCAATTCAATTAGATGGTTTCCATTGCAGCTCCAGTCAGCAATTTATCATACTGACTATATCTACTTTGCAAATACTGCCTTGTAAGCGTCTGGAAACATTTGGCCAAAGGCTCAGAAAAGTACCTCAGCCATTGACAATTTGTGTGAGTCCCTAATATTGCTGGGACTGTGTTATTTCTTTAGACCGTAGGCAAATAGCACATGACAACCTGGAAGTTCGGGGAAGTCCGATTTATGATGTGACTCTATTAACATGATCCATACCCATTTTACCCATTGTGGAAAGGGAGAGTGTAGAGAAAAACTCACTATCAAGTAATCTGCCTTCTGCGAAAAAAAAGCAATCAGCGTCTTTGTAGTCACTTCAACAAGCTCTTGTGGTTTTAACTCTAACATTTCCCATTTTGGGCAGAACAGCTGCATTTTGATGAAAGTTTGAATAAGAAAATGAGCATGACCATTTGTGGGGTCGAGGGCAGGATTTTAAGCATAATCAAAGTGAAATGATAGGATTTATTTTTGACACATTATCAGAATAACAATTTTGACGTGGTTTACACAGGTGACGAATTATAACCAGGCAATCTTGTCTGTTGATTTAATCCTATGTGAAGTCAGCAAATTTTAGAAATTAATTTGCATACATATTTTACATATGTATGTGAAGACTGATTATTTAAATACTTATATTTTCACAATGTGTTTTCAAATTGGTCTGAGTACATGCAAAATATGTAAGAGATCTTTTTCCTTCTCCTGACCAAAAAAATAGTTAAAAATTGCCTTGGGAAACTTTTATTTGGAGGAGTTGATACTGCTTCATGAAATAGGATTCTCTGTCTTAGAGAGGATGGAATGATTTGAGTGAGAGGGAAAATCAACTTTTAATAGCTCAAATTCTAATAACTTCCTCACAGCATTGAGACAGGTGTGGTGTGAAAAACTCAGAAATAACTAAGGATGGGGCCTGGTTAACTTTCCCATATGCAAATGAAATGAAATACACAATGTGAAATGAAGGCAAAACGCCTCGTCTTTCTACTGAGAAATTTATTTCCTTGTATGTATTTTGTTTTTCCCAGTCAAAACAAACAGCAGCATAAAAACAACACAAGATAAACTTTACGTTATTCTAGCTATAACATTATCCTTTAGGGTTAACTGTGAACTAAAATTTAAGAAGCTTCTTAACTTCAAGAATGGAGAAGCAGTTCTCTCCCCAACAGTTGCTTTTCCTTCCTCTATCACTTGGTTGATACGGAAAATATCTGGATTAATGGAGTTTTCACAACCCTAAATCTTGGAAAACCAAAGTTTTAGATGGAGAACAACTCTATTTCAGGAATTCTGAACAAACATTTTAAGAAGAAATTAAAAGAACCGGCCCCCACAAGGGCCAGTGGGCTCATTCATTCAGATGATACTAATATACTAGAACCCAACTTTTGGTGGATGGTGGTCAATGATCCATCAGAAGGCTTTGCCTGCTAAGTTGGTGTACACACCCACCTGAGTCACTTCTTGTAGAGCCAGAATGTCACAAAGCATGAAATTACACCAAAAGAGGAATTTGTTCTGAATTTTAAGAAAAGAGAAATACTTTAACATGTATAAGAAGATGGCATGCTTAATTGTTATCTGACCCTTTCTGTGTGTCTTTTCTTCAACAATAGCCTGTAATTAATCAAATCCCTTCTATACCATGGAGAACCCAATCTTGACACGAATTAATGACACATTAAATTATCTTCTGGTAAATTAAGGCTACAAAAATTGATTTCTTAATTTATAAGGTAAATCTACATAAATGTATGTTCTTAAAGTTTTTGCATACACTGAATCCTCAAAAATGTGCACTTTTTTTGGCTTTAACATTGAAAGTCATGCAGTGTCTCAGCTTCTTGAGTTTCTTGGGTACAGAAAGAGAAAATAAGCAAGTGGATTTTTATGTTTCTATGGATTCCATTTGGATACTTTTATGTATATTCTATGCTCCACATGTATATGTAATAAATAGTTTCATTTAAGTGGAAACATTGTAAAGAAATGTAATGATACTTTCAGCTCTAAGCTCTGCATGGGAAAGGTACAGTGATGGTTTTACACAAAAGAAAATAAAGACATGGTTAACTGAATACAAAGTTAAATGCTTAGTGTTTTAAATATGACCTCAATCTCACCAGTTTAAATTGGTGCATCTTAGCTAAGTAGAGTGAAATTTCAAGTTTTAGGAAGTGTCACAATATTATATAAAATATGCTTTGTGAAGGGTGTGGTCTACAGGAAATAACTAACAAGAGTGAAAGAATAAAATAAAGATGAGCAATTAGCTATCCAGTTGTGTTTAAGCCAACATCTGTAGCTTTTATTAGAATGGTAATGATTTTAAATACAGTAATCCAAAAAATCAAACAAAAGGAGGGTTTTATGAATACACAATATAGCAGTGGAAGAAAGGAATAAGTGAAGCTCTCTGTGATTTGTATGGAGATTCTGATCTCGGTCATTTTAGGTGCTTTCCTAAGACCACCCTGATACAGATTTTCAATATTAGCTACAACTTCCAAGAAAAAGAACACACATACAAATTTTGCACTATTTGAGTCCATGCCATGCATTTTTATCAAAATCTATCTACCCTGTAGATGAAGACCATGGATGTCAGTTTTCAACTAATGCTCTAGGGGGTGCTAAAATGCCTAATTTGTTGGGAGCAAAAATGGCTGCAGACACATACTAATTTAAATAAAGGGGATAACTGGAGAATGCAAAAGTAACAGATCCTTTCAATCTCACTCACTGTGTTGTCCCAAAAGTACCATGCAGTCATTTGAGGTCTAATAAGAATCTCTTACTTATTAGGGTAGAGCTAAAGATGCTACCTAAAGGTGAGGGCCTCTTCACTTCTTAACTATTATAGTCTTCCTAAGATGTCAATATTAGGGATTCAGTGCTCAAGACAAAGCTCTATAAAATATTTGCGTACAGGGTTGTCATTCAAGGGCCAGAAATGAACTTGATCTAATATCCAGCAGTCAAAATGAAGCTTAGTTTTTAGTGGTATAAAATGTTCCTTACTCAATATCCATCTTAGCCATAACTATACATTTCTGAAAGAGAAACAGATTTATGATCATATCTGACTGTGGGTTCTCACTACATAGAAATGGGTAACAGTTGTAATAAGATAGACACTTCACATCAAGTTCACTTTTTTTAAATGAGGCTTCATCTTCCTTTAGTGAGGAGTGAATGAATGAATCTGTTCATTCAGAGTTCAGCAGCTGAGAAATACCTTTGGCTTGGAAGACTCTAAGTCTTTGAGCTTCATGCTTCTTATGTGCTAAGACCCTCATTTTCTATACCTAGAAAATGGTGTAGAATGGATAAATGATCTGCCTGCATGGTTAGGAGGCAAGTCTGCAAACGCCTTCCATGCCTCCATTTGCACATCTGTGCCTAAGAATGTTGAACTTCATTAAATATTCTATTCACTTATGTTCCAAAGTAAAAATGTGTTTATCAAGGAATGATTACTAAACATAATCTTGGCCACAGTTAAGAATTGTGAAAAGTATCCAATAGCAACGTTAGTAACTGATGATTATGCTCATGTTTCTTGGATTTTTATTTTCTAACTGAACCTCCAATAATGTAAGGAGGTAAGTTATCATTCCAACCACCATTGCAAAAACATGGAAACTAAAGCTCGGAGGGAGGGGTTCATTTGATTGTCTAAAGTTGGAGACCTAGGGGTGCTTCCATTGGGATTTTTAGGCCATACTACTCAAGTTCTCAGTTACGCTCTTCAGAACTGTCTAACTGCCCTCTGCCCCTGCCCCCCATTACAAATTACCTTTTACATGTGGATGAGAAAGCAGAAAAATGTGATGCTTCATCATTAGTAGGATCCAAGTCCATTGTTTATGTTTATTTTTAATATAATTGTCGAAAATTTTTCTTTGTTCATCCTCAAAAATGGTGACCATAAACCATGACAAACTAATGAAAGCCACCATTGTTACCTAAATTGGTGCCCTTGTCAGACTGCATGGCAATTTTTTTATTTATTGTGCTTTTACACTGCAATATAAATGTCTAGAAGGACACAGTTTTGCCTTTATCAGTGCCTGGTTCATAATAGATGCTCAAGAAATAATTGAATAAATGAGTGATCATAGAATCAAATCCTTCCCTAGAACTAGATGACAAGCATGCTCGCATTCAACATTTGCATTTCATTATCTGGAAGTATTACTAGATTTTATGGTTGATTTTTACCCCTCAAATTTTCATCTCAACTTTTATAAAAATCTTATTGTACAACTTTCCATGGGATAAATATTTTATGATATTATTATTTAATATTGTCTTGGAATAAACACAATTTAAACTCCAGGCAATTTGAAAGACCACTTACAGAGATAATTAATTTTCAGAAGTACCCAATTAACCTTGTTAATATTTGGAATATATAACTGTAAAGAATATCTGATGTCATTTGGATAGGAGGAAAATTTAACGGAAGAAATACAAATTTTGAGGTAATGTCTTTCACAATGGGATATATGCAGTTTTGCTCCAGGGCAAAGTGGGAATGTTCATCTTCCACCCTGAGGCATTATCTGTGGAATCCTTGTAATACTGACTTGGCTCACTTAACTATGGTAGAATTAATTGCCATAAAGTCATACAGATATTTTTTTTTATCCAGGCACACTCCCTGCTAAAGTCCTTGGTAAAAATGAATTCCCAATAATCATAACGCTTCAGCTTTCTGAGAATATTGTTCCTATTTTTTTTTCTGAAAATTGCAGTCGTTTGTAATGGTAATTTCTTATTTCTACGTGTGTCCACCACTTGAGTATCTAAACTCACAGACTGATATTACAATACAATTCAATTATGCTAGATAGTTGGAATTAAAAGACTATTTCATTTGCCAACCCATTATGGCTTAAAACCAAACCAAACATAATAAAACTTAACAAAAAAGAAATCATGAGTCAACAAACAACTCGTATCCTCTTGTTTCAACAATTTCTTACAGATTGGAGAATAAATCTTTAAATTCAGAATGGGCCTCAAATAACATATGAATTGACTGACAGCTGAAATGCTAATAAACTCTGATAAGAAGTAAAGTTTCCATAGCTACCATCCAGGTATGGAACATGATTATACTTGTAAAAAAATCAAAATGAAAATGATTCGTAGTAGCAAAAATGAAAGCCGAGGATTTCCACCTTAAATATTTGGGTGAATATTTCAAAAATGTCTTTCTGAGACTTTTAAAGAACGTAAAAGACATAAGTGTAATTTATAATTTTAAATGGCCAAGTTTTTTTCTTGTTAATTGATTTTGCTTTTGATTTTTCAATCTGACTCAATTATACCAGTTTCCTATACAACAGTGAATATGCAATTGAGGACAGTAGGCCTTAATAAGCTAGAAGGGTAAAATACTTATCTTGTATGCAATTAATTAATTAAACTTCAGTTCTATTTTTTGATTGATTGAAGCACCATTTCTCTACCCTCTGGCTTCATTGATTTCTATAATTCATTGGATACTTCTATTTCAAGGCATCCTGATTTTCAGAGCCTGCTGGTTATCCATCACCCATCTATGTATACTCATATACACATTTGACATTACCATTGCTGCCAATCTTCTACCTCTACTTTTATTATGACAATATTAGCTAACATTACTATATGGTTATTACTGTTAAACTCTAAGCTAAATTCTTTATAGTAACGCCTCTCTAAATCATTATATCAGCAGGAGGTAGAAGCTATTATTTCCATCATTTTGTAGGTGAGCAGAGTATATGTTGGCTGAAAGTCCTATGTTTTGTTGTTGATTTTGTTTGATTTTGGTTTTTCAGTAATCCGTTCTATAGTTTGGGTTTTCAAATCTTCATGTAGCAGTGATAACTGTAGTTGTCATTGCTTGAATTACCAGACTGCTGAGGATTAATGTGATCTTGGTGACCTATGCTATTTGAGTTGAAGTAGGCAGCCATGATGCAGCACCATTTTGAAAAATAATGTTGGATCAGAAAGGGATTATTACCAAAATAAATTATATTAGAAATGTGTATTTCCTTGATTCCTGTGATATTTTGGCACTTGTTTTAGGTTTGTGGATCATAGTTTAAAATTATAAAAAAAAACCACACCTAATAAGAAAGTTTGTCCCAAGTAATCATATTTTATTTGAAATTGAGCAGGAAAGTATTTATGGCAAATAGAAATAAATGAAGCTTGGATCTGATATATCATATTGATATAAGAATACATTTTTGAGAAACAAAATCTTGACTCTAAGTACATAAACCAAACGTTGATCTCGACACATTGTACCCTCACATTACTTTTCAACGCAAGAGATTCAGTCTTCGATGTGCTAATTTTGTCAGTTTGAGGGAGTGTTTGCTACTCAGACAACATTCATTTAATATTTACCTCAAATACTCTTGATGGTTTGTAGTATATAATGAGACATTTTCTCCCAATAGATTCTACCATAAACATTGGAGCTTTGGGTTGAGGAGATATTAGGGTGAATAAACAAACACCTTGCTTTTTACCTTCACCTTTGATAAAGGTGACCTGTGTTCTCATCCTACAGGAAGTGTTCCTTTTTACATGATACCCTCCAAGATGATGAGTTCTAATCCTGAGGAAGACCCTTTGGACACATTTCTCCAATATATTGAGGATATGGGGATGAAGGCCTACGATGGTTTGGTCATTCAGAATGCATCAGACATTGCTCGAGAGAATGACCGCTTGAGAAATGAAACCAACCTGGCCTACTTGAAGGAGAAGAATGAAAAACGCCGAAGACAAGAAGAAGCAATAAAACGGTAAATATAAATAAAAGTATCCCAAGTCTTGCATAACAAGGAAATCAATGAGTTCTGCAAAGGCTGTGATGGTGTCACCTGGTCAAGAAGGGTGTTTACCAGTTAGTCTTGATGAGACCAAGTGAAATTGGCAGCTCAACTATAACAGAAACGCAATTCATCTGACTCACAGGACTCTCGCCTCAGCTTAGAAAAGTTACTTACTGGTGTGTTGTGCATATGGAGGTACAGCTGGGCTTGGGAAAGAATTCAGTTTTCTTTAATAAAAGCTCATACCAAACAACCTCTTGGTAAAAGCCCAAGGGAACACATAAACAATCTCATCGTCAGTATTTGATGAAAATCCCCACCTTTAATGGTCTTTGTTATAGTTCTTATTTTATAATGGCTCATCTTCTTCCTAGATTATAAAAAGACTCATGGATAATTAGAATTATATGAGCCACTGAAGGCAGGGGGACCCTCCCTGAGTGCTCTCTATGCAGAGTTTTAGGACTATTACATATCTTGTCTGGTACTGAGTGCCCCAGGTTTGTTGAAATGAAATGACTTTTTTTACTGCAAAATGTACAGTTACAAGCAAATAAGTACCAGATTACAACTTCCAAACTGAGGCTAAATTTCCTGGGGCACTGAAGCCCAAAGAAGGATATACATCTTTTGATTCCCCCAAGAATGTCATAGTGTTTTCAGAGTGTGTATGTGTGTGTGTGTGTGTGTGTGTGTGTGTGTGTTTGATAGTGGTAAAGGTAGAGGCATATTGCATTCTACAAAGTCTTATTTTTTCAATAAGATCTATTTACTAAGTGCAAAGATTCAGAACTTAGAAAATTAATCCTTATCAATTAGCTGGATACAGAATAATATTAGTTAAGCTATTTCAATAGTTGGTGGATTTTTCATCTAATCTGACATTAATAATTTTGCTTCCTCTCTGCGAACATTATGATATTAGGGAAAATTTGTTACATGAACTATTTATTCTTATAATGAAACTAGATAAGGAAGCCCTACTTTAATCATTAAAAGCAGATAACTTTATATGAGAGGTTTGGGAAAGAGAGAGAGCATTGGAAACCAAAAAAAGAAATGTTGTGGAGGATTATTTTGAAACAGTGTAATCTTTTTATTTTAGACTATTAAATGGAAATCCGTGTATTATCAGGTATAAAAATATTTGTGAAGTTATATACTTGATAAATATTGTCATAATTGTTTATATTTAAGTCAATATGTTGTTGGGGACTATGCTATTTTTTTATTCCTCCCCAATTTTAGTTGGTATCACCAATTCCCTTCTAGGATACACTAAATAGACTTTCTTCAGGACAATTTCCGCCCCTTGGGAATTAATTCTCAGGGACTTCTGTATGTATGCTAGCACTGAAGAAAACTCATTAAAAATGAGGTTTCTAAAGTTTTCCTAAAATGTTTCTAAAATTCATAACAAAAAAGAACAATTCACATGTCTCTAAAACAGCTTCATCTTTATAATGAAAGTTTTCCTGATCTTGGCATTAAAACTCAATCATTCATTCTTTTCTTTAACCATATAAATAGAATTATTTGCAGAAGTTTCATTAGATTTTACAGAAATCTAAAGTGTGCTTATCATTGTACTATTAACTTTTGTGTTTCATCAACAAACTTTAGAAAGGTTCTATCTATAAAGATATTAAGACAGAAAATGTCTGATTTTTAGATAGTTTTCTGTCAAGTGTTCAAAAAGTCATAACCAACAACTCCAAAGGAGCCTGAAGTTCGAGGCATGGTGGCAGGGATTTAGGTAAGTGGCAACGCATCAAAACCCTGTCATTACATAGTAAGTGAGGTCCAGAAAATTCAGTTATGTGAACTTTGAGTTGGTCTCTGCTAGGTTAAGAAAGCAGTATTTTCTAGAATCATGTTAGAAAGCATTAAAGTATAGATAGTTCAGATCATATATTGAATTGAAAAACAGTCCCCAATGATGTGAAGACCTTTATTTCCACATCATGCTCTCAGCATAAGATCAAACGTTAGTCTGGCTCTGCTTGAGAACAGAACAAAGGACAGGAATAAGTTACCCACCATGTTACATTCCAGGTGGTGTTATTCACGGGAGAGTTATAGAGGTATGTAATTTGTCGGATCAGACCTGGTGCAGTAGGATTTCACATGATCAGTCTATTCAGAATTTCTCCCTAGATGTGGGTATAGTAGGAGAATGAACCAACTTCCCACACAAGGGAATGGCCAAGTAGAGGTAAACTGCCTGGTCCTAATTCAGTGGTCTTATCTTATGAATTCTGACTCCACCCTGAAATAAGGATCAGACAGAGAGACTTAATCCTGGTTGTAAGAAATAACACTGATTCTGATGAGACAGATAGGGCACCTCACACCTGAGATCAAGAAGATTCAAGGCCATGGGGCCAAACAATGCATGCATACTGCAATATGCACCATGGTTGCTGATGTCCAAACCACAGTGTAACTTTCATGGGAAGAAAGACCTAAAGCAGATTTATTGTTCAACAGACATTTGCTGTTAAATGTATTAATTGAATGGGGAAATATATCTTAAAATTTTGCTAACTGCCAGGCCACATTCAAGACCTTGATGTGACAGCAATGAACAGAACAAATTTCCTGTTGTAAGGAAGATACATTCTGAGGGAAGGGTGAAGAGGAGACAACACTAAACATAATTATATATAAATATATATAACAGGTGGTAAAACAAAGCTTGGTAAAGGAGATAAAAACAGGGCCTAGGGAAGGCTGCATAAATTATGTTTGAGACATTGGAAAAGTGCTGCCAGAGATGTGAAGTGTATGGCTATTGGCAAGAAGAGAATTGTAGGCAGGGGGAATAGTAAGTTTGAGGTGTTCTAAGAAGAGGACAAGGCATCACACAGTGATCAAGGCAAGGATTGGGGAGATTTAAGTTGAGACTGGTAGAAGGCCATCAGGTAATATAGAGCTTTGTAAACTTTTGTGTTTTATTCTGAAGGAGAAAACAAAATTCATTGAAGATTTTTGAACAGAGGTGTGAGCTGCTTTAACTGAACATTCTGCCAGGGTTTGTCTTGCTTCTGTATTGAGGAGATAGATGGGGCATGGCTAAATGTATGAAATCCAAAGACAAATCCTTTGTGATACATCAGGTGAGAGATGATGGTGGCTTGGACCAGGGTGGTAATAGTAAAGGTGGCATAAAATGCTCAAATTATGGGCACCATCAAAATGTTCTAATTGATGAGAGGTGGGAGTTGAATAAGAAAAAAACTGAAGATGGCGTTCTACTTCATTTTGCTGTTGTTTTGTGTCCGTGTGTGCGTGTTTTGCTTTGTCTTTTGCCTGAAACATGAGAAAAGTGATGTTTTCATTTAATGAAATAGCAAAGACTAGAAGAGACGAAGTTTAAGTTAACTGTTAGAGGAATGAAAGCTCAGCTTTGGTATCCCAATTTTGTGAGCCCTTTTGGATGGCCCAGTGGAGAATGCTGGATAGACAGTTCGATCCAGGATTTATGGTAAGATCAAAGCTGGAGACATGAATGTGAGGTTCATCAGGGTCTATAGATCACAAGACATTAGCCTTGTTGAGTACACTTAGAATCTAAAGTCCGAGATGCACCCTGGACCGTTCCTTGGGGCACCTGACTGCTTACATGGTAGGAACAATAGAAGAATCCAGGAAGTACAGCCATGACAGAGGGGAAGAACCATGAAGGATGGTGATGTCTCAGAGTCAAGTGAGAAAAGTGATTAAAGAAGATAGATTTTCATAATGGATCAGTTGAAGCCTGAGAATTGACGCCTCTTACCACATTGGTGTTGTTGACAAGAACAGTTCTGGTGAAGGGCCGGGAACAAAACCCAGTGAGATTGTATTCATGAGTGAGTGGGAAGAAAGGAACTGAAGCAGAATATAGCGAACTATTCTGAGGGCTTTGAGGCTAAAGAAATTAAAAAATATGGAGAGTAATTGTAGTGGAAAGTGGGGTCTCTGGTATTTTGTTTTTCTATATTTTTCCTTTAAGAAGAAAGTAAACTTATTTAAAATGCTTATTTAAAATACTTATTTAAAATGCTGAATGAATGATTACAATAGAAAGGGAAATGTTAATGGCTTAGGAGAAAGAAGGAAAAATTACTGTGATTACGGACTTGAGTAGGCGTGAAGGCTTAGGATCCAAGACATCTTAGGAAAAAGCATAGACTGCACAGCCATCGTAGAAGAAAAGATGGCTCAGGGTACAGAAGGCTGAATGAGACTGAATGAATGACTAACCCTGCAGGACAAGGTCCCCAACCTGGTTCATTGCCTTCCAAGCACCTTTGTGTTACTGCTTCTATAGCTGTTCATTCAATAGGATTTGAAGATGTGGTTCGTATGTGTCTCAGATATTGGTAACTCTACGCATTCTTTCCTGCATCCATTCCTCCAAATATTTTTCTGGAATTGTATAATGTTAATATCTTTGAAAGGACAAAATTCAGCAAAACCTCCTAAATTATTGCGGTTTCTTCCTCAATTATTTGAGGACATAGAAGTCTCTGGATGTTGTTGGGGGGGAGGTGAGGTTTGAGAGAGAAATATCAAAAGAACCAAACATGAGTGATCAGACAGGAAGAAGGGACCAAAGGTCTTGCATGACTCTGTGCCAGGGCTGTCTGTGGGTATCTTAAGTTATCCCCTTTTAGTGTCCATTGCAATATCCAAACTCAACTTTGTTTTGTTCATATAGTGACTGGCATCTTGGGATTCTGACAATTTAAAACTTATAAGCTTTTATTTCTTCTCAGAGTACATTTTTGGAATTACTTCACATTTCTTAATAGAAAATGCATGTTTAATATTTTTCAGCATTTTGGGGTTTCAGGGTTGGCAACAGAAGTGGAATACTCACATCTAAATTTAACACATATTTTAATTTTTAACATGCAATTTATGTCCAATTGTAAACAAAATTCTACATGACATTAATGAACATAGCTTAATTAAAATTCTTT